CACACTCACACACACACACACACACACACACACACACACACACACGTGTCCTATAAATGAGAATCAGCAGATAACATACAGATAATAGCAGATAATAACTCATAATGGTGTGTGTGTTGTTCCAGGATTCTCTGGATGGTTCCCATATACAGCTTAGACAGCGTGAGTAACAAACACGAATCCCGAGACACTGCTGCTTATTGTCAGGAGAACAATGTCCTACAGCTGCGTTTGTGTGTCTTGCAGTGGATCGCATTAAAATACCCCAAGATCGCCATCTACGTGGACACGTGTCGGGAATGCTACGAGGTACACAGCAGTGAGACCTGTAACCACCATCATCGCACTGTACGACACACACACACACTCATCTAGATCAGTGGTTCTGAAGATTTACTGTCTGGAACTTGATTTTATTTTCTGTAAAGCTGCTTCTTTTTGTATTTTTTTATTGTAATATTATAATAAATAATAATTATATTTTAATTATATTAATATACATATATAACTTCCACTTATTTGTGATTATAGGATACATTTTTAAAATTATGTTTAACCTTCAAATATGACGATTTCACAGCAATTTTTACTTGGTGAAATATTTTCGATCTTGACATAACTTTATTTATTTTTCAAATTTCTCATATATTTGAAGGTGTTTTTCCCCACACACACACACACACACACACACACACACACACACACACACACACACACACAGGCATCTATCTATGCTGAGCATGCATACAAGTCAAGTAAGATGAACATGTCTCTGTCTTTCTCAGGGTTCTGTTGTTCAGATGTAAGCTTGGAGTTCTGCAGTACACAGCAGTGAGACCTGTAACCACCATCATCGCACTGTACGACACACACACACACTCATCTAGATCAGTGGTTCTGAAGATTTACTGTCTGGAACTTGATTTTATTTTCTGTAAAGCTGCTTCTTTTTGTATTTTTTTATTGTAATATTATAATAAATAATAATTATATTTTAATTATATTAATATACATATATAACTTCCACTTATTTGTGATTATAGGATACATTTTTAAAATTATGTTTAACCTTCAAATATGACGATTTCACAGCAATTTTTACTTGGTGAAATATTTTCGATCTTGACATAACTTTATTTATTTTTCAAATTTCTCATATATTTGAAGGTGTTTTTCCAAGACTCAAAGGAGTAATTCACCCAAAAATGAACATTTGCTTAAAGTTTATAATCCACAAGTAATCCACTCCAGTCCATCAGTTAACATCTGGAGAAGACAAAAGCTGAAACAAATCCATCAAGGCGTTAATTTTTATTCATTTTAAATGATTTTTTGAGACCCACTGATAATAGCATGTATATTGATGGATAAACATATATATATATATATATATATATAACCAGACAGCCGGTTTCTTTGTGTCTGTACTGTAGTGTGTGTCAGCTGTGTGGAGTTTATGATGAAGGTAATTTCAGCTTCAGAAACGCCTGGACGTACCTCGTTATCGTCAACAACGCCTCACAGCTGGTAACCAACATTTATTCATTTATAAATATAATTTATATTATAGTCACAGACTGTGGCACTAAGAAAATGTATCAATGCATTGCTGATACTGACACATGCTAATAGTGTAATATAGTAATTATATGCTATAGTAGTCAAATGTCTGGAACTACTGGTCACGAGTCGAATAAGGAAGATTGGTTTGATTTGCTTGTTTTGTGTTGAGTTTGCGATGTACTGCCTGCTGCTGTTCTACCGAACGCTGAGAGAAGAGCTGAAGCCTCTGAGACCCGTCGGCAAGCTGCTCTGCGTCAAACTCGTCGTCTTCGTGTCCTTCTGGTACGTTCATGTTCACACTCACTAATGCAGCGGAGAGAATCTGAAGCTGATGTTTGACAGCTGTTTAGTGACACTAAACTAGTATAATAATAATAATATACAATTCAATTCAAATCAATTCAAGTTTATTTGTATTGCACTTTTCACGATCGTTGCAAAGCAGCTTTACAGAAAATTTTTAGTTTCTACATTATATTTAGGAGTAGGTTATTAGTGGTGACTATGATGGAAATGCACAGTAAGAATCATGCAGTTAGTTACAAATTGCATGCAATCAAACAGACGGTGAACACTATTAACTGCAATGATTATATGTTGCGATTAAACTTATAGCAAAATTTGGTAGTTTTGTATGTTGTTCCAGGGTTGGCATCATCCGAGGTCTTCTGTGGGGAGTATAATATAATACTGAATTTAAAGACAGATGGTTGCTAGGGTGTTTCTAGGCAGTTTGTAGGATTTTCTGGATGGTTGCTAGGGTGTTGTTAGGCAGTTGGTTGCAAGGCAAGTGATAGGTGTTATAGATGGTTGCTAGGGCGTTGCTATGTATTACTAGGCAGTTGCTAGGGTGCTTCTAAGCAGTTTGTGTGGTTGGGTGTTTGTTAGGGTGTTGTTAGGCAGTTGGTTGCCAGGCAGGAGATTGGTGTTATAGATGGTTGCTAGGGCATTGCTATGTAGTACTAGGCAGTTGCTAGGGTGCTTCTAAGCAGTTTGTATGGTTGGGTGGTTGTTAGGGTGTTGTTAGGCAGTTGGTTGCAAGGCAGGAGATTGGTGTTATAGATGGTTGCTAGGGCGTTGCTATGTGGTATTAGGCGGTTGCTAGGGTGTTTCTAGTCAGTTTGTAGAGTTTTCTGGGTGGTTGCTAGGGTGTTGTTAGGCAGTTGGTTGCAAGGCAGGAGATTGGTGTTATAGATGGTTGCTAGGGCGTTGCTATGTGGTATTAGGCGGTTGCTAGGGTGTTTCTAGTCAGTTTGTAGAGTTTACTGGGTGGTTGCTAGGGTGTTGTTAGGCAGTTGGTTGCAAGGCAGGTGATAGGTGTGATAGATGTTGCTAGGGTGTTGTTAGGCAGTTGCTAGGATGTTCTGTGTTTGCAATGGAGTTGATAGGTATAATAGATGGTTGTTAGATTGTTAATGGGAGGCTAGGGTATTGCTAGGCAGGGGTGTCTTTGTGGTTGCCAGGGTGTTGCTAGGCAGCTGCTAGTATGTTCTCAGTGTTTGCAGTGGAGTTGATAGGTATAATAGATGGTTGTTAGATTGTTAGTTGGAGGCTAGGTTATTGCTAGACGGGTTTCTTTGTGGTTGCTAGGATGAAACATGCAAGAATGAGAAATAAAGCGTGGGATGTTGTATGTGACGTGTAGTTTTGTGTTGTAGGCAGGCTGTGCTGATCGCTCTGCTGGTGAAGGTCGGAGTGATTTCAGACAAACACACTTGGGAGTGGGACAGCGTGGAAGCCGTAGCCACGGGACTACAGGTGAACATACACACACTCTCACACACACACACACACACACACACACATTTATCCAGCTGTTTACATCAGGATATGTCATAAACATGAGATATTTTGTTTCTGAAATAAAAGAGGACATGATTTAGTCTTTTGATGAACTGTATGTGTGTTTAATTCTGTGTGTTTGTGTGTGTATGTGTGATAATGTGTGAGTGTGTGTGCAGGACTTCATCATCTGTCTGGAGATGTTTCTGGCAGCGATCGCTCATCACTACAGTTTCAGCAGTCGTCCGTATGTTCATGAGGATGATGAAGGCTCATGCTTCGACTCGCTCCTCGCCATGCTGGACGTCTCAGACATACGTGCAGACATCGCAGAGCAAGTGCGCAACGCCGGTGAGAACGATCACGGACACGTCTAATGCTGTTTATAATTACTAGCTTTATATAACTATTCATATATAGTTATACTATACATATTTTTTAAATAAAAATTTTAATAATATAAATACAATTATTATTGAAATGATTAAATAATACAAATGTATTTAAACTTTTTTCCTTTTGAAAACTGTACACAATTACCAACAATTTCTGTCTTGCAAATTTTGTTACAGTAGCTAATAAATGTCACATGGGCATTTTTATTATAAGCATGTGCTAGGCAGTTGCTAAGGTTTCCTGGGTGGTTGCTAGGGTGTCACTAGTTGCAAGGGTGTTCTCCATGATTGCAAGGCAGCTGATGGTCACTAGGGCATTGCTATGTGGTTGCTTGGCCGTTGCTAGGGTGTAGCTAAGCAGTTTGTAGAGTCTTCTGGGCGGTTGCTAGGGTGTTGCTGGGGTGTTTCTAGTTGCAAGGGTGTCCTCCATGGTTGTAAGGCAGCTGATGGTTGCTAGGCAGTTGCTAGGGTGTTGCTTGGGTGTTCCTTGATGCAAGGGTGTTTTCCATGATTTCAAGGCAGCTGATGGCTGCTAGGGCGTTGCTATGTGGTTGCTAGGCAATTGCTAGGGTGTTCCTGTGGTGTAACTAGATGCAATGGTGTTCTCCATGGTTGCAAGGCAGCTGATGTTTGCTAGGGCGTTGCTATGTGGTTACTAGGCAGTTGCTAGGGTGTTCCTGTGGTGTAACTAGATGCAATGGTGTTCTCCATGGTTGCAAGGCAGCTGATGTTTGCTAGGGCGTTGCTATGTGGTTACTAGGCAGTTGCTAGGGTGTTCCTGTGGTGTAACTAGATGCAATGGTGTTCTCCATGGTTGCAAGTCAGCTGATGGTCACTAGGGCATTGCTATGTGGTTGCTAAGCAGTTGCTAGGGTGTTCATAGATGCAAGGGTGTTCTCCATGGTTGCAAGGCAGCTGATGTTTGCTAGGGCGTTGCTATGTGGTTACTAGGCAGTTGCTAGGGTGTTGCTGGGGTGTTCCTAGATGCAAGGGTGTTCTCCATGGTTGCAAGGCAGCTGATGGTCGCTAGGGCATTGCTATGTGGTTGCTAGGGTGTTGCTAAGCAGTTTGTAGAGTTTCCTGGGTGGTTGCTAGGGTGTTCTCAGTGGTTTCTAGACAGTTGCTAGGTGTCAATATGCTGTCCTAAGTCAATTTGTCTCCAGCTTTTATGATCTCATGATCGCGGAACACAACGCAAACATTTTTTGTCATGATTTGTCATTGCGCTCGCTGATGGTCGCTAGGGCATTGCTATGTGGTTGCTAGGGTGTTGCTAAGCAGTTTGTAGAGTTTCCTGGGTGGTTGCTAGGGTGTTCTCAGTGATTTCTAGACAGTTGCTAGGTGTCAATATGCTGTCCTAAGTCAATTTGTCTCCAGCTTTTGTGATCTCATGATCACGGAACACAACGCAAACATTTTTTGTCATGATTTGTCATTGCGCTCTGCAGGCCGTACGGTGTTTGGTCGTCCCCGTAAGCTGTTCTTCGGCTCTGAAGTGGATGTTGTTCAGGGTGAACACACCGGTCTCCTCGCTGGGACGTCCCACGAGCGCCACTCAGTCCCCGCCTCCCCGCAGGGGCGGTACCAGGGGCTGGGCTACACGGACACGCCCCACTCAGTCTCCGCCCCCGCCGGCTTCACATCCTCCTCCTGGGAGAGTGACAGCGACTCGGGGCCTGCGGTGGCCAATCAGAGCACAGGAACAGAGTCCTAGCAAACGGTGCGGTGAGGCTACGGGATAATAAAGACACTCAGACGTACAGTGAAGACCTGTTCACATCTGGATAATGCAAACAGAAATTATTCAAATGAATCTCCATTTCAGTCTCCATGAAAGCTTTACCTGAATTGAAGTAAAACAGCATTTTATTCAACGAAGCTACTGGAACCAATGTTATTGTAATATTATTTATATACTATACCGTTTTCAATAATATTTTGAATTAGCTTTCATTTTTAAATACTTCGAGTTTTCTTTTTAGTTTTTTTTAATATTTAGAAATTGTATGTGCTTTTGTCATTTACAGTAGTTATTTTAATATCACTGTTTATGTTTAATTTAAATTTATTTAAATTTTAGATTTTATTTATTTCCAGTTAGTAATTTTAGAGCTTCGACTTATTTCAATTAGTTGCCAAAGCAACATGTCTAATTTTAGTTTACTTAAAAATTTTTATCTAATATTTGTATTTTAATTTATTTTAGCTTTATTTTAACAAAAGTGTTCCTAATAGTTTTAGTTTTTAATAATAACCCTGTATCTGTTCTGATTTTTATATTATAATTTATTATTTTATTATTAATTTGTAATTTTAAATTATTATTATTACTATTATCATTATTATTATGCCATAAAAGTGTCAGAAACCGTAAATCCCAGAGACTCCAAAAACTCCCAACACTAGGTGGCACTATAATAAAAACATTGTTGTTATGTTTTTTAAATCTTGTACCAAAAAATGTATGCTTGATGTGAAATTGATGTGAAAAAATCTTTACACAAACCCATAAAATACAGACCTGTTCTTATTCTGTGCAAGTATTGTAAACGGTGTGTTATGTTTTAAATCAGTCACTAATAATATAAAAGTGCTGGCCTGATTCCTGTTAAATTGTTTAATATACTGCCATGTGACATTAACTAATGTTACATATATATATATATATAAATTATTTCATGTTGTGGCTCAAGAGCTTTTATAATATTGATAATCATGTTATGGAATTCAAATGTGTGTGAATATATTGTTTTTCCATTAAACTGCTGATATTGTTCTTTTACATTATAAATACATATCACACATACACACATAAATACTGTATACACCACAAATGGAGTTTTAATTTACCACCAGGGGGCAGAATAATATTACAAAGGCTCATATTAAAAACAACCCATATTTCTGTTGTCCTCCTCGTGACTGATTGATCTGTAAAAATATGTGTACAAAACTTTACATTGACATCATAACAGGTCATAAAACATTTCAAAAAGCTTCTTCTGCTTTAGTTTGAACAAATTGCAAATGTACAAATGCACAGCAAAATAAGGCTTGAAATCCTGCTCATGTTATTTTGAGTTACATTTGAGTTATTCAGTTCTTCTCTTCAGATTTTGGTTCTAGAGTTCTCAGGCATTTGTAGCTGAAAAAGACAGAATTTAAAGTGACTGCAGTGTCGGTTTTATCTAAAAATGATCTGAAAATGTTGTAAGCAGCGTCACGTAACAAACACACAGTGGATTCAAATCTCACATCGGCTTCAATTCAGTATTGAGATAAATCAGGTGGACAAAAATGTTACCCCTGATTATTCAGTGGAATACAACATAAAACATTTTCAGAAATTATTTTTGTGAAGTGCTTAGTCAACATGAAATCAAAATAATCAAATCTGCTGATTTATTAATTCATGTATGGTGCATGTCTTCATAATCTTTTAGCATAATACTTTCTCCACTTCTATACCAATTTTATCTTCATATAGAGATACTTGCAAAATGCTCTGCATTTTCTCATTGAATATCCTCAGAAATGTTCACATTATGGAAGTAAAATGTATTGTAAATGCCATTTCGTGTTGACTTTAAATATCACTAGTTTCCTGACAAGTTGTCTGAACGTTATGTTGTTTTGAGAAGCTTCACACACACACAAATAACATACTACAGGTTTAAAATTGGCTGATAAACAACTAATTACAGTGATTCATCTATACACAAATAATCAAATAACAACCCATATAATATGAAACACAAAGTCTGAATCAACAAAAAACAAAAATGGTTTGCTTGTTAAAGCAACAATCCAGGCAAAAATGAAAATGTGCTTGGGAATATACTGCATGAGTCACGTTGACTGATATTATTGTGCTTTTTTGTCCATTTTAGAGCTTGATAGGTGTTTTCTTAAATTAAAATCTGGTGATTCTTTGCAAACTCTTTGAGTAAATGTGAGTGTTTATTTTGAGGTGAACTGTTCCTTTAAAAGAGGCATTATCATGAAGACTGTGCTGTGTGTTTCTGCAAAATGAGCTAAAAGACACAGAAATACGACATCTGACCCTCCCAATACATCAAATTATACATCAGTGAAGGTTCACTTGCACAAATTAGGTCCGGATCTCTTTAATAGCAGTTACAAACCGTACCAGAGTTCACATGAACTGTAAACCAGAACCTCCAAACCAAACAAATAAATCTTCTGTGGCTTCAAGTGCATGTTTGAAGCTTTGAGCTCATCTGTATGCTAATGAATTTAACACTAATGTGCTTTTCGGTCATTTTTGACCAATTCTATTGTTTTTAAGCCTCCTGTTGTGTTCAAAAACTGAGTACAGCAGCTTTAGAGTTTGTTCGTCAAATTGACCCACAGTGGTTTTCATGCAATTTGTCAAAAATAAACACTATGAAAAGCACTAAAGATTAATGTAAAACAGAACACCTCTACTGTAGATGATCAGAGACTAAAAAATATAAAATATGTGAGAAATGTAATAATTCCCATCAATTTTTATAGTGTTGTTTCTATTGAGTTAGTGGTCAATTTGACCACATATTTTGATATTTTCATGTTTCACAGACACAAAATACGTTTTTTTGAAATTGTAGGAGGAAATAACTACAAGTATAAACAGTACCTAACATTATTTGTACTTGGTGTAAGTAGTTTTTATTGCTATTTGTACCTCCCAATGTTTTATTGTTATGTCCTTTTCTTAAACCCTTGTGAGAGTAGAATGAGTTTCTCACACTTTTTCAGTGCTGAAACAGACTAGTAATTGAGATCCAAAAAACTTACAAAAACAACCTTTGACAGATTTTTTTGATTGTGAAACCCAACTAGATAAAGAAACAGCTGCTCAATTTCGAGTAAACTTTATGAGTCTTAAATTTCATAAATTCACATGTATTTCATATTTTAGGCTTTGACAAGCTACAACAAAGTTCTTCCGTTGTTTACCGGCCTATTTAATGTTTTTCAGATTGTTGATTTTTGGCAAATTGCATAGAATCCAGTGGGGCTCAGTTTAACCCCAACACAAAAGTCCTAATAAACTCTGTACAGCCTTTCCAAAACACATCTATGTGCCGAAACTTTGCATGCATATGCATGAAATTTTAAGAAGAAATAAACATTTTAACCAGTATTTTGAGCAGTTTGAATATTTGAGCTTGGGTCAATTTGACCCAACATAAAAGTAGTAACAATTCTCAGCACAGCCTTTCCAAAACACACCCATGAGCGGAAACTTTGCATGCACATTCATGACACTAAATGAAAAATATCTACCAAATTTCAAGAAGAAATAAATAGTTGAATCAGTATCTTGAGTCATTTAAAATACGTATGTGGGTCAAATTAACCCCAACACAAAAGTCGTAACAAACTCCGTACAGCCTTTCCAAAACAAATCTATGTGCTGAAATTTTGCATGCACATTCATGGTGCTAAATGAAAAATATCCTCCAAATTTCAAGAAGAAATAAATATTTTAACCAGTATTTCGAGCAGTTTGAAAATTTGAGCGTGGGTCAATTTGACCCAACACAAAAGTTGTAATAGTTTTTGTACAGCCTTTTCGAAACACATCTATGTGCCGAAACTTTGCATGCACATTCATGACGCTAAATGAAAAATATCCACCAAATTTCAAGAAGAAATAAGTAGTTTAACTGGTATTTTGGGCAGTTTTTAAAATAGAATGTGGGTCAGTTTTGACCCAACACAAAAGCTGTAACGATTTTTGTACAGTTTTTCTAAAACACATCTATGTGTTGAAACTTTGCTTGCACATTTATAACCCTAAATGAAAAATATTCACCAAATTTCAAAAATAAATAAACCGTTTAACCAGTATTTCGAGCAGTTTGAAAATTTGAGCGTGGGTCAATTTGACCCAACACAAAAGTTGTAATAGTTTTTGTACAGCCTTTCCGAAACACATCCATGTGCCGAAACTTTGCATGCACATTCATGACGCTAAATAAAAAATATCCACCAAATTTCAGTAAGAAATAAAGAGTATTTCAAGCAGTTTATAAAAATGAGTGTGGGTCAATTTGACCCCAACACAACAGGGGGTCAAAAAACTTCAAACTTCAAAAAACTGAACTATAAGTCTAAGAGGTCATAAAAAACCCCCGACACATTGGCTGTTTGAGGTCAGAACTGACCGTCCTTAGGAAATGAATGGGAAAGCGTCCAGAGATGTTTGCATTTGATTGTTGCTGTGAAACTCACAATCTGAGGTGTGTCACTCCTCCGCCGTTCGCTCAGGTAATATGGAGTGCTCTTGCGCGATGGCTGCCAGCTCCTTCAGGAACTCGGCGAACAGAAACGTAGTGAACACTCTGTTCCGCAGGTGCGGCGGGATTTTGGGGCAGGGAGGAAGAGGTTTGCGTGGACGACCCGAGACGTGGCCATTCAGGAACCAGCCAGCGTTTTCTTGCAGGTGAACTTCTCTCTCTGACAGAAGGAGAAAGAAGATGGTTTCAGCTTGCAAACAGAAAGACAATCAAACAATCGGGACAGGACGATGCACACCTTGCTCTTTTAAGGCCTGGTCTTTGAGCAGCAGGTACTGGGCGGCTTCACGGACCAGCTCGGGAAAATCCGGATTGGACGCTGCGTACTGTTCAATCTGACAACCCACCGACAGCAGAACCTGAGACAAACACACAAGCTCGTTAGAGGAGTTCAGATATTGAGCATCACATCATCTAATAATTCAAAAGTCATTCTGATGTAATTTTCAGATTCATAAATGTTAGTTAATTAAATAAACTTTAACTGAAAATTTAAAAAAAAAAAAACTTACAATAATTTTATTTCCACTAGTTACCAGGGCAACATTTCTCATATTTTGTTTAGTTTAATTTGAAGTACTAAAATAACTAAAACTAAAGAAACTAAAACTAATATCTGAAGCTTAATAGAAACTATATAGACATATTTAGGAAAACTAAAATGACAATCACACACACATTCACAAAAACTTACTTTAAAGGCAAAAATTTTAAAATACAATTAAAATGGAAAATATAAAAGAGTCATTTAAATGTAGGCTTCTTATGAATATTAATTGAGTATTGTTTATTGAAGTTGTCCTGTAATACCACTGTTGCACACTGCATTGCATTAAATGTGCATTTAGGAAAACAAGAAGTTAGGTGTTGATTATGTATTAATGAAACTAACGTTTATATACTATTGTAGTATTTATAAATATTTTGAATTGGCCATTATTTTTATATTTACAGTTTTAGTGATTTTATGTGCTTTTGTCTTATTTTTTTCTATATAGCTTTAATTTATTTTTGTTTCAGTTTTAGTATTAGTAATTTTAGTACTTCAACTTGAAACTTACTTTATTTCAGTAGTTGCGCAGGCATTTTCTAATTTTCATTTTTTGAGTTTAATTTCCATCTAATGTTTGTATTTGATTCTATTTCAGCGTTTTTATTCAACAAAAATGTTTTAAAATAATTTTAGTTTTAGTGAACAATATCATCGCTGCTGTGTAAATAGAGTTTGTAAACAAAACGGCCTACAATGAACTTTATTCGGAATGATAGCATCACATAATGAGTAATGTTTGTTTGTTTATTTATTTAATGCATGTCAGCTACACTGTAAGAAAAAAAATATAGAAAAACGGATTTTCTTCTGTCAAGTTTACTGACTTTATGTTCAACCCTAAAACACAACATGATGCAACGTTTCATTTAAAATATGGGTAAAACACCTGTGAAAAATCAATATCAATAAAACAGCAGTTTTATATTAAATTTATATGAACACCATATGGACTATGGAGTGTAGCACAAGAAACAGGTTAAAATGTAGCAAAATATTAAAAGCAAATACTGAACAAAAACAAAATAAAACAAAAGGTTTTAAAAAATTATATTATAAAAATTATAACAAAAATTTATAGACTCACTTTATTAAAAATCTCGTCTATGAGTCAACTGAATGCTGAATGACTTTTAATATTAAATCTAATTTTGCATATTAATACTCAGTGTTGGGGGTAAAGCATTACAAGTAACACAAGTTACGTAATCAGATTACTTTTATCAGGTAACTAAATATAACTTTTGTTATTTGTTATTAAAAAACAAATAAACAAGCCCAGCCCAAGTGACAAAAAGTAACGCAAAAGTAACAATGCATTACTTTCCATAAAAAGCAACAAAGTAACGCAATTAGTTACTTTTGTTATGGAGTAAAGCAATATTGTATTGCATTACTTTTAAAAGTAACTTTCCCCAACACTGTTTATACTAATATGGAGTGTTCTGTACCTGGTAAAGTGAGCGTGCACCGGTCTGAGACACGGGTCTGGTGTTCAGAATGAATCCTTGCAGCAGCGGTTGTGGATATGTGGCCAGCTGCGCTAAAATCCCCGTAAGCAGCAGGTTGACTTCAATGGAGTTCTCCAGCATGTTCTCCAGACGGGACAGCAGGACGCTGATGAACGGCCCTGAGGAACCACAGATGCTTTAGACTGCTCTGATTGTTTGATCCAAACCCCGCTCTGATTCCACCCAAAATTGGCTCTGAACATTTGCAACAACTCGACAATGCTTCATTTCAGAAAGTGAGTCCTAACTGCTTCCATACTGTAAACTCTGTTAAAGCCCAACTGAACTGTTCTCTAGACTCAACAGAACATCTGAGCTTGGAAAACATCATCCAGATCAACCGAATACTGAATCAGATCTGCAATAAAGCTCCTCTAAACAATCGAAATACCTCAGACTCTTCATAGGACTGCAGTTTTTAACTGTGCAACTCAAAAATGTCTCAAAAATAAATTTCCACCATCTTTAACCCTGTAAGGCTACTGTATCATATTTGATTCACAAATTTCTAAGGCCTTTGAATGATCAACATGATCAAAACTTTGCTGTTTCACTCAATCTCCTCGTGTCTTCTTTCGTCTGATTGATAGTTTAGAGTGTTTTATCCAGTAAAAGTTCTTTTAGTGTAATTGTAGAAACGTCCAGCTTCAGCTAGAGCTTCTCGTGTCAAATCTTGACTGGTTTTGATCAAGTAAGCGTCAGAATAACTGCAGTAATATCTCCAGATGAACACTTACTGGACTGAAGCAGCTCAGCTTTACTTGATTCTCCATCAATCATGTTTTAGAGTCTCAAATCTAATCCTCAGGATCTTTTGAGGAGCGTTTGTTTCCAGAAGCTTTACTTTCACTGTTCCTCAGCGGAGGAATGATCTTCACAAGCCTCCAGAACATCTCACATCTTCTGAGGAGCCTTTATTTCTTCAGCTCTCAATCACTGCATTATATGTTCGGAGCATTTCAATCTCATCTTACTGAGACATTATTGGAGATACAGAGTGGCGACTGATATTTAGAAAACATGTTTATGTCAGATCTCATTGATTTACATCACAAGCATCAGAATTCCATCATAAAAATATCAGCATCTGCACCAAATTGAATAAAATCAAACAGTTTTTTCCTCCATATTCTCATTATATCAGACTATATGTGCCATAAAACCCTGATGGATCAAATAAGGTACCAAAAATAGAACACATATGCACACTCTTGCCCCGAGGTTCAATAAACTCTTCCACTTCAAAAATAAACTCTTCCATATTCAACCTCATCAATCATTCCAAACCATATAAAATCTCCCGACTGACCTGTAAACGAGATCCCGTGTTTCCTGCTCTCGGCTTTATTCAGTTCTTCATCTGCATCGTCTTCACCCTCACACTCCTCACAGAAGCAGGTAAAGTCCAGCTCCTCCTCCTCGTCCCCATGCAGGAGATCCTGCAGCCACTGGAGCTGCTCTTCATCCTCCACGACGGAGTCTTCCTCTCCGCCCAGATCCCGAATCAGCTCCAGACACTGCGAGATGAAGTCGTCTCCTGCGGCTTCGGCCGTTTTGCTCTCATTGCAGTTGTGGTCCAGATGCGCAGCATCACCCTCTAATTCCGGTTTCTGCTCCTCAAAACCACATCCGTTCACAATCGGTTCGGATTCTAGATGTTCTGCGTGATTATGGTTCAGTGTGTGATTAACCTGCATCAGATTGTTGTTTACGTAGTGATTGTGGGTTGGTTTATTCAAGCCGTTTTTGACGAACATCTGCCGGTCGTCGCGAGCGTCTTTTTGCGCGATCAGATTATAAACCAAAACGTCGTCCTGAAATTCCAACTCCTCGATATAACTTCCTTTAATCAGCATGATGGCGTTTTTACGCATTTCCTGAATGTGTTTCGGCGGTTCGTCTGGAACGTCGGGCGTCGGTTCCCTGTCCGGTGCGGCGTCGTACGTATCGTCCCATTCCAGCTCGAGTAGCGTCCCGACTCGCTCGCGGTCGCCGGTGGAGCTGGTTTCCGAAGGCGGATGAGGAGTCGGCATTTGAGGAGGCGGAGTAGAGCGAGGAAGGCGCTCGTCCTCATCCTGATACTCGTCCGGGGACGGATTAAGGCCGTCGTACGGAGCCGACCACACGTTGCACGCTTGGACGGTCGTACAGACGGATCTGTGTGCGTCATACAGATACTGAAGATAGTTCTTGTGCATCAGCGGCTCTGAAGCGGTTATTCGGGAGCATCCGACGGTATCTCCACCTGAGAACAGATCCTCCATTCCTGAAGAGGCAGAGAGGAGATTTAGGACTGAATTAGTGCCAAATTAAATTTAAAGATAAAGGGTTAGTTCACCCTAAAATGAAAATTCTGTCATTAATTACTC